CACACACTCTCACACACACTCAGCTGGACACTAAGGAATGTCTCTCTGCATTCTCCTCCACAGCTATATGCAACACAGTGACTTCTCTACATGCCCCCATTGTTTTTAATGTGTTTAGTGTATGTGTGTGTGTGAGAGAGAGTGTGAGTGCACGTCGCTGAGAGTAGATGCATGTGTGTCAGACAGACTCCTCCATTGAGAACACCCACCTTTCTCGCACCTCCTCGCCAGTCCGGTGGGGAGTGATGACTCAAACTTAAATGAGTCTTTATTTCTCTTTCTCACATTGACCCAGCAGAGCAGGAGCGCTTCGCCCCGCTGAGTGTACCTCTTTCTGTGCACTTAACGCTAAAGGCCATCAATAATGAGTCAGACCTCCACCGGTGGTGTAATATATGTGATTTTTAGAAAATTGGGTAGGATGCTTGTTGATCTGCTCTGGGCTGAGAAAACGGTGGTGAAGTCTGGGAGGAGTGTTTGGCCTTCAGGAAATACTGTGTGTTTAGTTGGTTTCAAATCTCCCAATAGTGAAGGATGAATATAAACCTCCATTGATAGGATTTTTATTTCAAAGGTTGGTTTATATCTGGATTGTGGGATTGATGGTGAGGTGTAGTATTAGGGTCAAAATAGGGTCAAAATAGGGACAGAGCAAGGCTGGATTACCAACCAGTCTAAGGGGGGCGACTTCCGCAGGGTCTCACAACTCCCAGTAGCTTCAGCCTTACATGTCAGCTGGTTTGAAATATTTTTAATGAATATTTGTTTACTGCCTAATCTTGAGGCCTTTGGAAGAAGGATGTGATTTGTGTTCAATAAACACACTGTGCAGAGGGTGTGAGGGACTGTAGGTTTAATAGGGAGCTGAGGGGTAACTTGGGATTTCAGTTGGGGTGAAGTGAAGACATCAGGGCAGGGTTCAGGGCAGGGTGGGTTATTTTGGGGGGGCTGTGTAAATTTAGAGTTAAGGAAAGGGTTAAAGTTGAGGTTAATTTTAGGGTTTTGGTGTTGGGAAAGTAGGATGTGACTCTGAATAAAAATGTCACTCTTTACAAAGATAGAAGATCAGCAATGCGTGTGTGTAGGGAGTCATCACATGACTCAGCGGTGTTTATACCGACTCAATCCAGGCACGACTTCACGATCACGCACATAAACACACACACACACAGACAGTTTGGTGATTGTTCTCCTGTCAGCTATCAGGACTCCCCCTCTTTTCTCTCTCTCTCTCTGCATCTCCAAATATGACTCTGTTTCCCTGCACAGTGAACTGAGGAGAGGGAAATGCCTGCTCACACTGGGGGATCTTGCAAGAGTGGAGAAGTGAAGCATTGTCAGTTTCTCATTCAGATCCTTCAGTCAAACTTCATCCTAAATGTTGCCTAACTCAGTGAGTGTGTCTGCGAGCACAGAGCCTTGAACAAAGAGCCCTGCTGGCTGCTGGTTGAGAGGGCTGGGTTTGCTCTCCAGACTGCAAACTGATTTTTAGACACCGACAGGAGCTGGATTTACACAAGGCAGCAGCAGCAGCAGCAGCAGCAGCAGCGGGCTCGGTAAGGAAACAAATCGTGTTTTTATGCATTTTTTATGCGTCAGCCACATAAATTGGTGCTTATTTTACACTGCAGAGCTCGGGCATGATCATGGATGGGCTTCACCCACCACCATTAGGGAATAGAGTTATTCTTACCCTCGCATCACAGCCTCTGTTATAAAATAAGTTATTTGAGTATTTTTAAATAATTTATATTGGACTGACCCGCGTGAACTTTTTTTGCGCTTGAATTGGCGCTGATTTCAGCCCTTATTGCGCACACTGAAACGCAGCTGTAGGGGTGTGATGGATATAGGTTTATGGCTGGCTGTATGGGCAGTTGTCCGAGGTTTTCCACTGAAACGTCAGATGCACCTCAGTGTTTGGTCACCGGTTATTTCAGAGCCTGTGATCCTCCCGGCGTCCTGACGTCAATTTATAAGGACCCAGCGGTGCCGGGGCGGCAGGCACATAAGAAGGGCTGGGAAGGAAAGAAAGAGACAGAAGCCCCCCGGACCATGTTGATGTGATATTCCTCATAATCTGCTGAGCATTCTGGTAGGATTTTCTTTATTTCATTTCCATTATCCTCCCTTTATATTCTCGTCCTCGTGCAATGCTTTTGAACCTGCTTTCTGTCTCTGATATCTCCTTTTCATTGTATGGGCTGATATGGAGAATATGTCGGGTTTTGCAGTCGGTATAATCCAATTGTCGGTGTAAATTATAATCCTATATAATCAAATATATCTATAATTTGGTTTAAATTTGCACGTGTGCTCTACTCCATAATAGCGAACCGGCATCTCTTTGTGTATAGCAGCGTATGCATCATAATGTTAATGTTAAGGGGGCTTTTTTGTCGACTTTTGGGCTCTCTTGGTCCCACAGAGGATCACTGTGTCCTGCTCACAGGCTCCGCAGTGTCTCAGTGAGAGCGGTTTCTGCTGTCTGACAGGTTGTGTGTCTCTGCCCAGCTGGTTTAACCCTGCAGACCATCAGCCTGTGGACAATTTAACTCCTAAAGCACTAAATCACATTTCTAAATAAGTGCATTTGAAGTCAGTTATTCCAGGTATTTACCTGCCAGGCTGAGCTGATAAGGAGAAGCCTGAGCATATGAAGGGGATTCCTTTGCACTCTCCCTGACTCTCCATCAGCACAGCAACCACATCCCCATAGCAACAGTTAGTAAAAACCAGTACTCTGCGTTCCCATTTCCAACTGCCACTAAATAGACTTCACAGTAAAGCCCTGAATGAAAGAGAGGACTTGAGTGCACTCTGCACCTCTGCCAGGACATATATAGTCTGCTGCTCTCGTCAGCATCCGCTCGGGAGGAGTATTCTGAGTCTCTAACAGTTCCCTTGTATCTCACCAGTGACTGACCACGGCCAGAGCTTAAGAGGAGGGTCCAAATCCGGAGAGTGTATGCGTGTGTGCTGCTATGGGGAAGGACTACTACAAGACCCTGGGCATCCCCAAGGGCTCCAACGAGGAGGAGATCAAGAAGGCCTACCGGCGCATGGCGCTGCGCTTCCACCCTGACAAGAACAAGGATGCCAACGCTGAGGAGAAGTTCAAAGAGATCGCAGAGGCCTATGAGGTACTCAGCGACCCCAAGAAGAGGGTCGTCTATGATCAGCTAGGAGAGGAAGGTGAGGAAGGGGGCGGGGGTTGGTGTCTGGGTTTGATCCTATCTGTCTGTGTCTGTGTAGGATCTTTGAGTGAAAGTGGTCAGAGAGTGCAGGCAGAGCAGGCTCTGTCAGCGAGGCCTTGTTAAACCGGCGTTATGATGTATTAAGTTGTTATTGAAATAGCTCAGGAACAGACTCAGCATCTCATATCACAGCAGTGGACTTTGGTGGGCTTCTGCCACTGAAGTAATAATACTGTGTCTCTTCCATGTTTTCATGTTTATGTGCAGGATAGTGTGTGTGTGTGTGTGTGTGTGATTGTCTATTGTTATCTTTAGTGTCAACAACACTTACCAGCTCTAATACCTTGTAGTCTACCTCAGCTGCTGTAGTGTGTGTATAACTGTGTAATTGTGTGTGTGTGTGTGTGTGTGTGTGTGTGTGTTAGCTGACAGACAGATGGCTTAAGATTGTGGTTGAGTTATGAATAGCAGCGACTGCTGTACTTTGCATTTGTGGGTGTTTTGTGCATGCGTCTCTGTTGAAAAGGTGTGTGCGTTAGTGTGTGTATTTGTGTGAGTGTGTTGGATGGAGTGACCTGGTATTATATGAGTTCCTCCACCACCAGCTCTGTTGGAACATCAGTGATGCTGTGGGATTCTTCCCGCCCACGTGGGCTCCACTCTCCTCTCTGCTGTTACCCACACGTGGTCTTTTCTGAACAGGGTCCTGTTTCTGGTATCTGAGTTCATATTAATGTGTGTTTTTCAGCTGGTGGGTGTTTTGAGTGTGCATGTGCTTAAAAGGTCTCACGTTCCTCTCTCTCTCTTTTGTCTCTCAGGTTTGAAGACGGGTGGCAGCAGCTCTTCAGGTGCTCCCGGTAGTTCAACGTACCACTACACCTTCCATGGAGACCCTCATGCCACGTTCGCCTCCTTCTTTGGCGGCTCCAACCCCTTTGACATGTTTTTCGGCTCCAACCGCAGCCACAGCCGCTCCAACGGGTTCTCTTTCCACAACGACCACGACACCGAGCAGGACATGGACGTGGATGAGGATGACCCCTTCTCTCATTTCGGGAGACAGTTCGGCTTTCCGGGGGGGATGAACAACGGCTTCCCAGGGGAGGGCCGCAGGAGGAGGGGGGTGCCATCAGAACGCCTGGGGACAGGACGAAAGCACCAGGACCCTCCGGTGGTCCACGAGCTGAAGGTCTCGCTGGAGGAAATTTTCCACGGCTGCACAAAGCGCATGAAGATCACCCGCCGCAAGCTGAACCCGGATGGGCGGAGCATGAGGACAGAAGACAAGATCCTCAACATTATCATCAAGAAGGGCTGGAAGGAAGGAACCAAGATCACCTTCCCAAAGGAGGGGGACGAGACCCCTGAAAACATTCCTGCCGACATAGCCTTTGTGCTTAAAGACAAAGGGCATGCCCACTTCAAGAGAGACGGTTCCAATATCATTTATAACTGCAAGATCAGTCTAAAAGAGGTACGTCTGTCATTTTCATCAAACCTCTCTCTTATCTGTCTTGCTCTCTCTCTTTCCGTCCTCTATCTTTGTCCCAGTTCTGCATGTAGATGAGTAGGTTATGCTGCTGAGGTTGGGAGTTTGATTCCCAGTCGAGCAAACCAGGCAGAAACTCAATGCATTCATGGAGCTGCAAAGTTTCAGATAAATATCCAAAAATGGCACATTTTTATCATTCTTGACACTCAAGCTGGGCACACAGTGGATGAGGTTGGAGAGGTGTGACTGTAATTTAAGGGTAGGATTAAGCCCAGCGTGGGTGGTCATATAGAACATATTGAGGAGTGAGTGTGTATATATGTGTGTGTGTTGCTGGAGGGCACAATCAGTGAACAGAAGAGTTCCTGTCACTGCAGTGTGAGAGAAGCTGCAGGAATGTATTGTCCTTGTGTGACCGGCACAGAATCATCATCCTCACTTGTTCTGCACTTCTGTATGAATATATATATAAACGCTCATGCAAGCAGGCACAAATAAAGCTACACACAGGCATAGACATGCATGCAAGCATGCATCTTCAAGTGCATTTGCAAACACATTTGGATGAGGATGGATTGTAGTGTGGCCGTGGTGACAATCCAAGCTGCTATTACTGTGACTGGCGGGACATTTAATTAGCCGCTCCTACGAGGGCAACGAGTCCAGCACAGCTCTGCTCTCTGTCTGTGAATTACACAAGCTTTAATGTTTCTAATAGCGCTGCCACTCACTGGCCTGTACTCCCATTGGTTGGCTTAATGGCAGGTGTTCTCAAAGAACTTGAGATGTCAGGGGAGTTGTTTGTCCTCCAATCAAGCCAATTTTGAACAGTTTTCCTCTAAAAGCAGCACCGACTCTCATAAATCTCGTCAGAAGCAATTCACCGGGAAACAAGGGTGCCTGCACACAGCACAACTCTGAAGACGGCCTAGTTAATGAGAGCACATTAGGGTTTGTTAAGTCGCTTTAAGCAGGAGATGGTACTCGATCAAACCTGCACAATGATTAAGTTTGCACTGCAGAACTCCCACAGCTAAGTCCTCTGCTCTTACAGCAGCCAGATAAGAGACTTAAGTCTGATGCAGCTAAAGACGGGATGGGGGAGAGAAGGGGAGATGTGGATGGGGGTTGATGGGGTATCCGGGGAATATTAAGGAAGTGGGTCAGATGATTCAGTATCCAAAGCAAATAAGAGCTCATATTCCACTGCTCCAGTCTGCTCTGCTTCCCTGAAGATATGATGCTGCAGTGAAAACACAGCACCGGCTACATGCTGCACACCAGACATGCCACATATAATCTGGCAAATGTTATGCAATGGACCAGGAGATGGTATAACCTAACCAACAAGATGATTATTTCAAAAACAGTGCAAAAACAGAAGAGGAAGGCCATGACTCAATGATATTTGGAAATACAAGCAGATAGTTATTTTTGTTTCTGATTCTCCTGCTATTTTTTCAATTTTGTTTACTGCCTGAAGCATGCCCCGGTGGTCAGCTACATATATAGGGCCACCAAGCTAAGAAAATCCTTGGAGACACTGCCAGAGGCAACTTCCAGCCCTGCAATGTCTTCACTGTGACAGCAGTCAGAAGTAGTTGGAAAGCTTAGCACGAATTTGACACGTTAATTTCCCTGAAACCGGCCTGTATACCTGGATCTACTGGCTGGTTCTTCCTAGCATTAATTAAGCCTCTGCAATGTGTGGCAGTGCATTTCCAGCCCCTGTCACCACTGTACTCGACTAGGTGGCAGAACCCACGTCCAAACACACATAGGTGCTAACTGTAGCTGTTGGGCTCTAAAGGCAGCTCTTTACAGCTCCGCCTCTGATATCATTTAGAAAGACTAATATACCATTTATCCATGACGGTAGAACATGCTGAATCACTGTGAGTAAGGCAGCATGTTGCATTTTCTTAAGCAACCACTGTGGTTTAATCCTGTCAGTTCAATTAAATACATCAATTGCAATCAGTATTCAGGACAAGCATTTATTAAGGGTATGGACTGGATTGACAGCCCACAGCCTTGTTAGGAACTCTTTGGGTTGTGGAGACACTTTTAAACTCGTCCGTCAGCAAAAAACTGTAGGGTTAAGCACGTAACATTTATGGTTAATGTTAGAATATGGCCTGAGGGAGTGAGTACAGAACATTCTCACAAATATAGCAAAATCAAAGTGTGTGTGTGTGTGTGTGTGTGTGTGTGTGTGTCTCTAGAGCTATGTTGTCTGAGCTGAGGCTTATGCAATCAGTGGGCCCTCAGATCAGCAAGCAGTGTGTGTCGAGCGTCATGGCAAGCTGTCTCTGTGTGTAAGACTTGTGTTAGTGAATGGAAGTGTTCATAACAAGAGGATGAGCACTAGTCTCTGTCACAGTCGCAGGCTAAATCACCCCCCAATGTATGTAGTGGGTAAAAGGAGGCTGATGTCATGGCTCAAAAACTCTGAAGCAGCTGCTCTGCTTGACTGAACGTCAACTGTCCACAGGTCCGTCCCTGTTTGTTAAAAAAACACACACCAGACAAGACAAGAAAATCCTCCAGCAGTCTTAATTTTACATTGGCCACTTGATGATATGAACCAGGCGTTAAGTGCATGCCAGTGCGGGCAAAATCTCTATTACATCATGAGAGTTAACTCATCGGGTGAGTTGAGATGATTGGTGTTAAGAGTTGGTCTGTTTTGGAAAAAACTGTGGGAAACTTGAGCTAACTAATGCTCTCCCCTTCCATCAAGAAGGTTGCCTTGAGTAGAGTATAGCTTAATGAATGTATCTAAGATACTGCTAAACCTGGGTTCTCAGCCTGAATTCCTTCCTAAGTGTATTCGGATTTTAATCTGTCTCTTTTAAAGTCTTTTTAACAGCAGCGTGGCACTAAAATGGAAATGTTTGGTTGGTTGGTCTGTCGACTGGTCCACTCCTTTGATCCAGACCATCTCAACAATTAATCGATGGATTATCATAGCATTTTGTACATATATCCATGTTGGATGAGAGGATGTCTTTGGTGATTCCCTGACTTTTCATTTTTCGCCATCAGCAGATGAAATCTTTCACTTATCCAGTGAAATACCTCAACATCTATTAAATGGCAAATAAAAAATTTAGACATTTAAGGTTCACTGATGATATAATTACTTTTGTGATCCCCTAACTTTTCCTCTTGTGCCACATCTGATGTTTTCTTTTAGTGAAATGTCTCAATACCTATTTGATGGATTTGTAAGAAATTGTTCCCCAGCCACCGGGGATGCATAAGCCAGTGCATTCCTAATTTACGGTTCCAAGCCTGGATAAATGAGGAGTATTGCATCAGGAAGGGCATCTGGCATAAAAAGCCAAGATGCCAAATGAAATATGCAGATCAGCTGCTTCAGATCTCCATGCCAGCTTTTACCAGATTGTCAGGTTTGCCAGTGAGATGTGAACAGATGATCCGCTGTGGCGACCCAAAGCAGCCAAAAGGAGAATACGGTCCAGCAGCACGATCATGTCAAAAGTTTGAATTGGTTTATGACATCCTTGTTAGCTGTACCGTTTGTTTGCTGCTAATTAGCTAATGTTAGCATGTTAACATG